TAGAACATGAGGTAGATTTGGCATGGATGGTAAATGATGAAACAAAGAATGACATATGTGAAGTGACATCTGTGGGTGGCACATGGGAATGACTGTGGTGCCCCCAAGAACGTGGGAACAAAGGAGTTGCCTTCTGAGAGCTGACTCTGGAACTTATACAAACACCTAAAAAGCAGTGTCCCAATTCAAGTGCCCATGGTGTTTTCGAAAGTGACATGAATGAGAAAAGTGGGCCCTAACTTCAGGATTGAGATTTAATTGTCCATCTACAGAAGCAGCTAGAATTCTGTTCAGATACTTTGACTCTATGGGCCCACTATTATCAAATCTGATTTTTTTTTTTGCCTCTGAAGTATCTTTTTAATTTAAATTCAATTAATTAACATATAGTATTATTAGTTTCAGAGGTAGAGTTCAGTGATTCCTCAGTCTTATATAACACCCAGTGCTCATTACATCATGTGCCCCCCTTAAAGTCCATCACCCAGGTACCTTGTCCTCAAACCCCCTCCCTTCTAGCAACCCTCAGTTTGTTTCCTATGATTAAGAGTCTCTTATGGTTTGTCACCCTCTCTGAGTTCATTTTGTTTTATTTTTCCTTCCCTTCCGTTGTGATCCTCTATTTTGTTTCTTAAATTCCACATATGAGTGAGATCATATGATAATTGTATTTCTCTGACTGACTTATTTTGCTTAGCTTAATACCCTCTAGTTCGATCCATGTCATTGAAAATGGCAAGATTCCATTTTTTTTGATGGCTGAACAATATTCTATTGTGCATATATATACCACATCTTTATCCATTCATCCGTTGATGGACATCTAGGCTCTTTTCATAGTCTGGCTATTGTGGACATTGCTACTATAAACATTGGGGTGCAAGTGCCCCTTTGGATCACTACATTTGTATCTTTGGGGTAGATACCTAGTAGTGCAATTGCTTGGTTATAGGGTAGCTCTATTTTCATCAAGATAGTATGGTACCAGACACATAGATGAATGCAACAGAAGATAAAACCCAGAAATGGACCTTCAACTCTATGGTCAACTAATCTTTGACAAAGCTGGGAAAGAATACTCAATGGGAAAAAGTCTCTTCAACAAATGGTGTAGGGAAAAATTAGACAGCCCATGTAGAAGAATGAAACTAGACCATTTTCTTACACAATATGCAAAAATGGACTCAAAATGGATGAAAGACCTAAATGTGAGACAGGAATTCATCAAGAGGAGGAGGAGGAGAAGGACACAGGCAGCAACCTCTTCGACCTTGGCTGCAGCATGTCTTCAAAGGCAAGGGAAAAAAGGCTAAAATGAATTATTGGGACTTAATCAAGATAAAAAACTTTTGCACAGCAAAAGAAACAGTCAACAAAACCAAAAGGCAACTTACAGAATGGGAAAAAATATTTGCAAATGTCTTATCAGATAAAGGGCTAGTATCCAAAATTTATAAAGAACTTATCAAACTCAACACCCAAAGAACAAACAAACCAATCAAGAAATGGGCAGAAAACATGGGAAAAGACATTTTTCCAAAGAAGACATACAAATGACCAACAACACATGAAAAAATGTTTTACATCACTCAGCCTTAGGGAAATGCAAATCAAAACCACAATGAGATACCACCTCATACCAGTCAGAATGGCTAAAATTAATAAGTCAAGAAATAAGAAATGTTGGCAGGAATGTGGAGAAAGGGGAGCCCGGGTACACTGTTGGTGGGAATGGCAAGCTGGTTGCAGCCACTCTGGGAAATAGTATGGAGATTCCTCAAAACTCATTTTTAAAGAGATAACCTAGATGTTTAAGTGCTGTAGCTAATCCTAAAAATTGAATAAGCACTTTGAGATCTGAATCAAATAACTCTAGCCTTAACAAGTTAACAAACAAATTCCCTTTGTTTTGCTTTATATTTACGGAACAACCTTCTGATCACATTTTAAATTTTTTTTTTATTTATTTATGATAGTCACAGAGAGAGAGAGCGAGAGAGAGAGAGAGAGAGAGAGAGAGAGAGAGAAGCAGAGACACAGGCAGAGGGAGAAGCAGGCTCCATGCACCGGGAGCCCGATGTGGGATTCAATCCCGGGTCTCCAGGATCGCGCCCTGAGCCAAAGGCAGGCGCCAAACCGCTGCGCCACCCAGGGATCCCTGATCACATTTTTAACGAAAATCAGTCTACACTGAGAATTAAGTATCACTTACAGGTACTAGTGATATACCAACTACCCCAATGCAAGATAGTTGTTATGATTAGAGAACTTGAGTTACTCTTTGGTCACAGAGCTCCTTAAATTTTGCTATTGGGATTCTAACCCAGATGCCTGTTTTCAGTGCCTCTGTTTTGTCATTCTAGGTACCTGAAAGCTGGTTAACATTCTGGTGAATAAAAAAATTTTCAGATCCCCCAGTAAGAGTGGATTTATATTAATAGGCACCCTACTGGCCCGCTATGTCCATCTTCTCTCCCAACACCAACTCCTGTAGGTCCTGAGCCCAGTATGAATATCTGGTACCTATAATAATTGTATCTACCAATATGAAATCATGACTTGGCATACCTGTAATCTAAATCTGAGATTTTGGCTAATCCAAATCCAATCCTGAGAGGAGTATTCTCTCATTGAACACTAAGTAATTTGGTTCCTAACCTTAGGAGATTGGTGGCCAGATCAGGCAGGTGGTAAACTCATCTAGGAAAATGTCACTAGTAACCTGGGAAACAGCACCTGGTTTCCATCAACAATCCGACCTGTGAAAAGACTTCAGTAGAAAGCACATTTTTCAGTCATTTCTAATCTCTTCTTTATAAACATGGCAAAGGAACAGAAAGTTCCAATAAAGGTAGTTTCATTGGAAAAGCAACCTAGCCTTGCCAGCAAATATAGCACACTAGGTGACTTTGATTTGGGAAACAATGTCCCCACTCAGCCTAGGAGCTGCATGAAAAATCAATCTCCCTTAAGGTGTGGATACCTTCACAAAAACAGCTGCTCTCTAGGAGCACCTTAACCTCCTCATATTTATTGTTTTTCACTGAAAAATATGTCTTAAGACAATTCCCTCCCAACTGAAATATCTAAACCTAATTGAAAACCCCCAGTGGAAGCTGCAGATAGATTGCAATATCACAGGAAAAATAAAGAGATTTTCCCAGGAGAAGTGGGCAAGTTTGTTCCAACGGGTGAGGAAGTGGTGTGAGCGAACGTGGACAGAAAGGTCATCTCAGCCTCAGGAGAAACTGCGTGAGTTCTGCAGTCCACCAAATAACTGGGTGGAGAATCCAAAGTCAAGCCTCTATTGGAGGGGGTTTTGTCCATAAAAATGAGTGCATGGTTTGAATGAGCTGTTCGGCTATGTTGGTGTAGCCTAGTTGCAGTATAGATTCTGGACATCATAGGTTCCTGTTCTCCCAATATTTTATTTCTGGAAAGTGTGTTAGAGAAGTGAACCCAAAGAGACAAAGAACACACTATGAGGTTCAAGTCCAAAAGCATACTTCTCCAATGACTGCATTAGAAAGCAGCAATGTCCACAATAGCCAAACTGTGGAAGGAGCCTCGGTGTCCATCGAAAGATGAATGGATAAAGAAGCTGTGGTCTATGTATACAATGGAATATTCCTCAGCCATTAGAAATGACAAATACCCATCATTTGCTTCTACGTGGAGGGACCTGGAGGGTATTATGCTGAGTGAAGTAAGTCATCGGAGAAGGACAAACAGTGTATGGTCTCATTCATTTGGGGAATATAAATAATAGTGAAAGGGAATAGAAGGGAAGGGAGAAGAAATGTGTGGGAAATATCAGAAAGGGACACAGAACATAAAGACTCCTAACTCTGGGAAACGAGCTAGGGGTGGTGGAACGGGAGGAGGGCGGGGGGTGGGGGTGACTGGGTGGCGGGCACTGAGGGGGGCACTTGACGGGATGAGCACTGGGTGTTATTCTGTATGTTGGTAAATTGAACACCAATAAAAAATAAATTAAAAAAAAAGAAAGCACTGCATGAGCATAGGCAGGTAGCTCCTATAATTTAATGCAAGGCATGTGATTTAGGGCTTGTCTAGACTATGTATTAGAGGGGCTTGGCTGAGGGTCTACTGAGTTTATAAGCCCCCTTTTACAACTGGTGGATCTTGACTCACTTTTCTTAGTAAGAAACTAATTAGGTCATCTGATATGAATTTGGAGTTAGCCATAAGTTAGAATTTCATGTTGGAGTATTTTTTCCAAGTCATCAGAGACAGTAACCTTCAGCAACAAGAGATTGTTTGTGGAGGACGAAGAAAGCCCTCTCTTCACCGAACTTTCAAACCAGAGAGAGACTTTCTCTTTTTCTTTGTGAGGACTCATGAAACCAAGAGCAGAGTTATTCCTACGGAGTTTTGGAAAATTGACACTGAGGGTATCATGTGAAGTCAAACTGTGTCAAGAGGGTGAAAGATCCGTATTCATAGATTTTGTTATTTTAATGCTTCTTTCCCATTACTTATTACATACTGAATTTCTCTTCTAATTAAAGTATTAAATTATTTAATCATCCCAAACTCCCTATGAGTTAGTACATTTCATTTAACAGGTGAAGAAATTGAGGCATAGATGTGTTATATAACTTGCTTTAGGTAAAAAAGCCAAGTCAGTGCTGATATTGGGATTAGAAACCACGCAACTGCACTCCAGGGTGCAATAAAACACTAGATTGTCTCATGTTAGGAAAAGAAATTTGGGAGGAAGAATGTCCTAGGAAAGCAGTATTTAAATTCTGCTATGAAGTCAGGAGGGTTGTGAGGACTCCAAGCTCCAAATCATCAGCTTGCTGTAGCAGCAAAGCCTGACAGATGAACCCATGAGAGTATCTGCTGGAGTCTTTTGGTAAAGAATTTTTGGAGTTCATTCGATTTTTGGGGGCCCCATACTCCTTCCTTTGCTGAGCAGCATGTGAAAGGAATGACAGGATTTCCAGGCACCCATAGGAGTCAGCATTCCTCACCATATTTCAAATTCCAGATTGGTGCTGTTGATGTCAGGGTCATCAAAAGTGCAGGTCAACAGGTGTTGGGTTCCATCCACTTCCAACTGACTGTAGCAAGAGAATGAATAATCATCCAGCTCGGCATCTTCAAAGTCTCCTGGGAAGGAACAAACCTCCAGCTGTTAATGAAGTAAATAAGTGCATCCTTTTGAAATCTGGAGTGACGTTAACGAAAGGGCAGCCTTTTGGGGCAGACGTGAAGAAGTAATCATAGGGTTATAAAACTCAAGGCAAAAGACAGAGAAACCAATACCAAAACCCAAACCGAAAAGACCCCAAACCCAAACCAAATCAGTATCTTATGAGCACAGATTTTTCTAAGAGAAAAAAAGATAATCACAATTAATAAAAAACCTCCGAAGGGATCCCTGGGTGGCGCAGCGGTTTGGCGCCTGCCTTTGGCCCAGGGCGCGATCCTGGAGACCCGGGATCGAATCCCACGTCGGGCTCCCGGTGCATGGAGCCTGCTTCTCCCTCTGCCTGTGTCTCTGCTTCTCTCTCTCTCATTCTATGTGACTATCATAAATAAATAAAAATTAAAAAAAAAAACCTCCGAATATTTCTAAACATTTCTTCTATTGGGTTAGGGCATTAGAGACCGAGAATAAAATACTAAATATGCTTTTTTACACTGTTCGTTTATTCTGTTAATTGGTACATTTCGAATAAGAGATACTTTATCTCCATCATTCAAATGCTACCTAACCTAGTCTTTGGCTTTGTCACTAATCTTAATTTATTTCCTCTCAAGTATTTCTTTTTTGAAGGAAGGAAGAAGCACTATATTATAGTCAGAAGTTCACTTTTTAAGTGATAGTTTTTCCTGCCTAAATACGCATCCCAACTAAAAAGTGCAAATGATTCTCTCCATTGTGTGAAATATTGTTTAAAGCAATTTGTCGTAAGCTACTAACTAAGGCAAATATGGTTAGAAAAAAAATTAGATCTGCCAGAACTCAAATCTAGTGGACCTTCCCATGAATCCTACTGCTTCTGTGTATGTAGATCCTTCTTCTATAGATACTGTATCTTGAAGATACCAGAATTCTGGACGTATGTAGGGAACCAGAATTTTTTTTTGCAGCCACTTTTGGTAAGTACAATCTGTCACAGATAGTACTCAATTTCTTGAATGGGGTTGAGGCCCCTAAGATTAAATAGACATTTTGTATGTATATTTCACAATATTTAACAGAAAAAAATTGTCAGCAAATATGGACTGAGACCTGAGAAAATCAGTTCTGGAGTAACTGAAGCCATTCTCAGAGTGGTCAAGTGTGAGCCTGTGATGGCTTCCACATCTATTGACACTAGAAATTACTTTGGACCATCAATACTAGAAATTAGAAATTAGAAGCTCCTGGGGTTGTTTTCTTTCTTTTTTTTTTAAGATTTTATTTATATATTCATGAGAGACACAGAGAGAGAGGCAGAGACGCAGGCAGAGGGAGAAGCAGGATCTCCGCGGGGATCTAGACTGGATCCCAGGACCCCAGAATCATGATCTGAGAGGAAGGCAGATGTTCAATAACTGAGTCACCCAGGCGCGCACCTCCTAGGGTTTTAAATAGAATATAGAATGTACTAAAATTAAACCCCAGTTGAGTGTTCTGAAGGCCATGAAATGTAGAAACAGCATCTTCTTGACTTAAATAACTAAGTAGGTCTGTGGGAAGGTTAGTAAAACTGGTGGCGAGCGGACCAACTAGTTGAGTGACATATTGGTTCAGTCAAAGCCACAAATCTTGAAAAGCTAGATCTAGATAAGAGCTGTGGGCACTGCTCTTTCTGACCATTCCAGAACCCACTAGGCTCACAATTCTGCCACTAGCAAAGGCGTCTTATGTAATTTCAACAAGGTATAGCTCTCTCCCTGATTAACAGTTTTAAATAATGAGGGGAAACTCACCATTTAGGGCTCACATTTTAAAGCATGTTCATTGTTAATCTTATAGGACTAAGATCTTGTGTCCTAAGAACTGGCTCTTTTCTCAATGGAACGAGTCTAGAGGGCTTTAGCCTGCGCTTACTCAGCAGTCCTCACTCTGTACAGATGTTTTCTCTTCTTTGAATCTTCCACCAATCCTATACAACAGAACCTACATTACTATTTGGATTCAAACTTCTATGGATCAGCTTTGTCTCCAAAATTCTTCAATATACAATATAAGCTAGAGAGAGCACAGTCTAGTAGATGCTGAACATTAGTAGGACAAAGCACTCCTACTGCCTTTAGCCATCCAGTCTGGTAGAGTCAGTCTGATGTGTATTTTCATACAATATACATAGCACGGGTCATACAAAGTAGCTACATTTTGAGTTCATTGGCTCTTAAACCAATAAAGTTGCTTTGTAACCAAGAAAAATTCCTCTCAACAACTTGCAAAGTTGCATGGCATTTTACAAAGAGAGTATTATACACAATCTAAGCTGAAAAATTCTTAGATAAGGGTAGTATACACGGTGGTTAAGACCTCTGGCACCAGAACTGGACAGATGTGGGTTTAAATTCTTGCTATTGTACTTTTTAGCTGTGGTTTCGGTCAGATTACTCAACCTCTCTATGCCTCATTGTTTCAATATGGAAATTCACTTTACTTTGAGGAATCACTGAACAAAATATATGCAAAGACAGAACACAGTAAGCACCAATAAGGGTTAGCTAGAACTATTATCTTTTTTTTTTTTGACAAATAAGTAATGAAAAGGTAAAATACGAATTCTAATTCTGAAATATATGTGAAACCTTTGGGACTTCTTTGAAAAAGAATTCCAGGGGTGCCTAGGTGGCTCAGTTGGTTAAGTGCCTGCCTTAGGCTCCGGTCATGATCCCAGGGTCCTGGAATGGAGCCCCACATCTGCCTCACTGCTCCAGGGGGAGCCTGCTTTTCCTTTTCCCTCTGCCTGCTGCTCCCCCTGCTTGTGCTCTCTTTCTGTCAAATAAATATATAAAATTTTTTTAAAAAAAGAATTCTATGTCAAAGTCATAATTCTATGACTATGATTTGAAATTACATAAAACTTTTGAACAGTGAGCTAACCTATTATTCTTTAAATGCCCACTATAGGGGATCCCTGGGTGGCTCAATGGTTTAGCGCCTGCCTTCAGCCCAGGGTGTGATCCTGGAATCCTGGGATCGAGTCCCACATCGGGCTCCCTGCATGGAGCCTGCTTCTCCCTCTGCTTGTGTCTCTGTCTTCTCTCTCTGTCTCTCTCTTTCCCTCTCTCTCTCTCTTTCTCTCTGTGTCTCTCATGAATAAATAAATAAAATCTTTAAAAAATTATTTAAATGCCCACTATATAAGCATATTTTTCTATAAAAATTTAATTTTTTGAATATGTATAATAGACAAGGCCATGTGGTTTAGAAGTCTTCCTTTTGAAAGGAATTAGTTGATTAAAAGTAGAAAGGGTTTGGATTTTTAAAAAATATCATTTTCTTTTCTTGATCATCCTTGTGGTTATCAAAGAGCTAGTCTTTCAACAAGCTGCTTCTTTTTTTTAAAATATTTTATTTATTTATTCATGAGAGACACAAAGAGAGAGAGAGAGAGAGGCAGAGATACAGGCAGAGGGAGAGGCAGGCTCCACACAGGGAGCCCAAAGTGGGACTTGATCCTGGGACTGCAGGATCACACCCTGGGCTGAAGGCAGGCGCTAAACCCCTGAGCCACCCAGGGATCCCTCAACAATCTGCTTCTGATCATTATACATCCCAAACTGAAAAGTATTTTGAGATGTTCAATGAGGATAAGTGGTTAGATCTCCTAAATAAATCTGAAATTTAAAAGTTGAAGTGAAAACTCAGCTTTCAGTTAGAATTCTTATTTCTTAAAAAAAAAAACAAAAAACAAAGGTATGGTCACCAGGGAGAGAATACATTATACTCTGAAGAGTAAGAATTAGGTGTTACTTGCCAACCAAATATCTGTGCAAACATTAATAATCGTCCTCACAAAGTGATTCATACATGATCACACTGAAAAATGTCAGCCCTCTAACAATTCCCTTAGTGAAAATATTCTAGAAATTTCCACCCTTAGTAATTACATGACTTAACATATCTAAGCTGAATCATTAGGCTGATGTATTTGATATCTTTGATAAGAAAATTCCTTTTAATTCTTAAAGTGAAAGGGCTTATCAGGAACAAATGGGTGGTTCAAATTTCTAGGTGGCTCCTGTTACTGCTGTTTTTGCCTTTGTCTATAGTTTTGCTGTAATTACAACCTATTTACTAAGTAGGCAGCATCAGCTTCTAGGTGCTAAATATTTCAAAAATCCCAAAGAGTATTGTTATATGATACATTTGTTGATATGAAAACAAATATATTTTAATGAGATGACTCAGATCTTCAGCTATTCACTATGAATCTCACATAAATCTATCAAAACTGAAGTATTTTGAAGAAGTTTTCAAATTTTCAATTTAAATATTGAATGTCTACTATGTTCTAGACACTCTTTTAGGTGCTAGAGATATGGCATTGGTAAGTGCAAACAAAGCTGTTGTTTCAGAAAATTATTTTATCATGGTTTTGGAACCTCCTAGAAAGCTAAACAAAACAAATCTAACTTGATTTTTTAACAAGGTAAAACTACCTTGGAGATTCTCCAACAAGCACACCCATTGCGTCTATATGGGTGTTCCTTTTGTAAGAGCAGAGGCATTGACCAACATTTAAGATCCACATTTAGAGTCTAATGCATTCCTTCCTGACAATTCTAAGACTTTATAAACCACCCACATTATTGTCCCAAGACCTCCTGTCCTGCTGGTTAGAACTTAGAAAACGACTGAATTATGTGGTAAGTTCTCCGACTCCATTCCAACTCAGTGTCCAGATCAGGTCTGTTAGGGATCTGAGTAACCTGTAGCATATGCTAGAGATAATCTGAAATCCTAAAGAAAAGTTAGAAATGACTCACCATTCTGTGCATAGCCACTTTCTCCAGAAACGGCTTGAAGTAAATAGAAAACCATACCAAAAGCTGTACCCAGAATCATCATTCTGAGAGAGAAAGAAAGGAGAGAGGAGGTGTGTGAGCCTATGTGTAGAAATGAATGAGAGAGAGAGCACCAGTGAGAGAGACAGAGACAAATCTACAGCTTTAGCACTTTATACTTCTTTAACCACAGACAGGGGGAAGTATAAACACAGCAAAAAAGAAGGCAAGTGCCAGAAACAGGAAGTCTGAGTAAAAGTATTGCTGTTGTAAGCAGAGGTAGAGGAAACAAAGGGATAGAACTTTTGAATTATTGTACCTCTTTGGAATTCCTGTTGGCCCCCAAACTTGCTTATTACAGAGCCAGGTAGTGAATTCAAATTGAGCCCCAACTCCCCTGAGACTAGAGTGTGACTAAGGCTCAGTTCAAAAACAAATCACCAGGCCAAACGCTAAACTTGCAAAGTTAATCAATTGATTGTCTAGGGTGAGTTTCACTTTAAGGAAAGATTCTGCACGGTATTGAGTAATTTATTTAAATAGTTCCCCTCCAATCTCTGAGCATACACACTAGAGAGTTTCACAAGAACAGCAATTTTTGTTTTGTTTTCTGTGTATCCCTAGTACTTACACCTTGCTCATCAAAGTAGGCATTCAAAAATTATTTAGCTAGTCTGGGAGTTGGTAAACTAGGGCCAAGGGGCAAAATTTGGCCCACCACCTGTTTCTGCAAAGGAAGCTTTATTGGAACATAGTTACTCTTGCGCTACAATAGCAGAGCTGAGGACCTGCGGCAGAAATTGTAGGGCACACGAAGTGCAAAATCTTTACTCTCTGATCCTTCACAGAAAAAAACCTGTTGATCCCTCCCTTGTGTATTGGATAAGACAGTTATTTTCTCAGGGTACTTATAATAGGATTATATTTGTGAAAATCTGATTGCCACACAACTTTCCAGGAACACACAGTATTTGCGAACCACATTGGCATCTATAGATATGGGCAAAAGCTTGGGACAAAGACAAAGATAATTCAGACTTTCCCTAAACTTGTCTGCCAATCAAAGCTGCTCCCAACATGGCCTCAGGGTTAAAGTAGGGATATTTGTTAAGCCTAACCGACTTCCTAGTAGTCGTTAAATCTTTTTCTTCAAGCCTCTATTAGTATTCAAATGAAGGCACAGGTCTATAGCAATCCCTTTATCAACAGACAGACAATGCCTTCCAAAAGAAAATCCCAGGTCTGCTCAGGTCTTCCACTGGCTAATCACCTCGATTCAAGCTGTACAACACCCCTCAGCTCTCTTAGAAAAAAGCCACAAGACTGAAATTACAAGATTATGAGTACTGAGATGCTGGATGGACAGTGAGTGGTGAGCTTCTGTTTGATTCACAGACATTGGGTAGACCTGGCAAAGATGAACAGTACCCCTCAGAGTATAAAACAGAGGGAGTCTTTGAAAGCTGCCGCAGTTCACTTATATCCTCATTACAGTTATTGTGACAATCTCTTAAAATGAGAAAAGAAGAAGTGGGGCATCTGTACCAGTCTGTTGAGGCAGATCCAGTGACAGGGTTGGGGTGTTCTGTTGATAAGATCACACTGGATTGCAAGCTTAAGGGATATTTCAGAGCAAGAAGCCAACTGCACGGACACAATCCATCTCTTCCCTCTGTTGAGGTTTTCTTTTGACATTTTCAAACATATTTCAAGGAGTGACAATTTTGTGCATCAGATAATAATTTGTGCCCTCATTTCTAATCTTGTCTTGAAAGCTTGGTTAGAAAATTATGAGTCTGATTCATAAAAATTGGTAGGTTTTTGCATTGAGGTGAGTATCCTTTCAAGAAAGATACAATTATAAATTCCCGTAAACTAAAATAAGTGTTAGAGAAGGAATCATGAATTATGTCTATCTACCAACACAGGTGTCATGAATTGCTCAGATTGTCACTCCATGGGTGAGTAATTGGGTTGTGTCTCTTTAAATTCTCTTGTTTATCATTTTAGTGGACTATCATTTTGATTGTATCTCTTTCCTTTAGTTGTGAAGATGTAAAAGAACAAAGCCAAGACACAATATTTTGGTACAGCATGTGCTAGTTTGCTCAGGGGATTTCCACTGGTGTACTTACTCTTTTTGGGTGGGGCAGGAGATGCCGAAGGACCTAGAGAGAAACCTAGATATAGTGCGGGGAGCTCAAAGAAAAGAGAAGTCTCAGTAGGCCTTCTAGAGATTCTGGGGAACAATTGTACCTTCTCTACTTTCTTCACCCAGGTCTTGCTAGTTCTTTGGAAAACTTAGGAAGAATGGTGGCCTTGTTCCACCTATTCCCCCAGATGAGAGACATTCACTATGTTGCTTTGTCATTACTGCCTGGGAGAGGAGTGGGGAGCTAAGAAAAGCAGATCAGGAAAGATGCTCAGGGCACAGAGCCTCCAATTGCAAAGTCAGGATCCCAGCAGTGGACCGAGGATAAAGCAGATCCTTGGACGCTACAGCCTGATTGTGGCACGCATCCCCCTTCTCGCCTTCCATCATTTCCTTTCATCACTACCTTCTCTCTTCCCTTTCTTGTATATTGTCTTCCTTTGGTCTCATGAGTTCCTATGATGTGGTGAATCATAGCAAAGGAAAGGCATTTTATTGTTTCTCATGTATAAGCAGAACACAGTGTCAACTGGTCACAACTTTCCTTTCTTCCTTTGGTGGGTATGATCATTCACACTATTTATTAAACAGAGAAAGCACAGAATGATTTTCTTTTATTTTCCTACTGTAATAAGTTATATATTTAATTTCATATATAACAGGTAGAGTCCTGAAGAGCTCAGAGAACTCACCTTTTAGCCAGATTTGAGATTACAGGGTAGTGGGTTTGGAGGAGTGTGTGCTCCCTTTACTCAATTGTTTGTTGTTTTTTTCTTGGTAAAAATCTACTCCAGGAAGCCCTAGGTTTTCTCTCTTTGTGCCAATCTGTAAGGACAAAGATGTTCCTGGGCAAATTCAGGCTGATAATCTTATTACTACTCTCCATTCTCTAGACTCCTCTCTTAGGACCAGAAATTTCATTTCTATCCTTGACAGAAATTATAAATTTAGTGAGTCAGACACCAATGCATTATCTCTTTCAGCACCCTTGGAAAACAAACTTTCAAGAACAAAAACACTTCTCGGAGTCAGTTTTTATACACAACTTACAAAATAGCCAGTAACACCTAGTAATTTGTCTCAATCAGAAAGATTTAAAAGTCACTCACCTTATGATTAGACACTGAAGGACAATAAAATGAAACAGCAGCTACAACAATAGTATATGTTGCTATAGGAATATCCGGGGCAAAATCTGATGTTTAAAAGATACTCAGTTCCAAAACATGTTCTATGAAATCTGTATAAGTGCCCCCCTCCAGCTGTCACTTACCTTCCTTAGTTAACAGTAAGATATTATCCATAAGATGGGAAGCAATCTTGGGCACCTGCCTTCTGCTGTAAGAAGGAAATCCAGGCCAGCTCAGTGGAGTGACTGGGGACCCTGAAGAACTATGAAAAAAAAGAAGAAAGCACCCAAGGGGTCAAAGAGGTGAGGATGGCTGTAGGGAGCCCTAATCTAGCTCTAGACCTAAATGAACTGTTTTTAGCATTTTATCAGTGTGTGCTGAGTCAGTCCCTAGGGCTCTAAGGGGGAGTCCCAACATTGTGAAGTTTCATTTCCAGGAGCACAGTGTTTTCCTTGTTGTGGCTCTTCTTTCATTTCCCTTTCCTCCTTACCCTGCATCTTCAGCCCCATGCCTTGCTGTCATGTCATGCAATAAGTTCTTTCTGGGCAGAGTTTAAAATGTCAGAGCTATTTTGCCTTGTCAAGATTTTAGTCTCTGTCTTTGGATACAACCAAAATGGAGTCTTTGGGTGCTAATTTTCACTCTTTGCTGAAGACATTTCTGCCAGAAAGACAGTGCTTTGATGTCAATACATGCTCAAATTTTGTTTTTTTTTTTAAAGATTTTATTTATTTATTCATGAGAGACACACACAAAGAGAGAGAGAGAGAGAGAGAGAGAGAGAGAGAGAAGCAGAGACACAGGCAGAGGCAGAAGCAGGCTCCATGCAGGGAGCCCGATGTGGGACTCAATCCCGGGACCCCAGGATCACGCCCTGGGCCAAAGGCAGGCGCTAAACCGCTGAGCCACCCAGGGATCCCCCATGCTCAAATTTTGATAAAAATGTGAACCAGAGCATCATTCCTTCAGGAAAGTGGTATGCCTGCTGGCAATGGCCGCAGATCTTGGTGATTCTGTGGGCAGCTGGGGCAAGGTGTGGGCCAATCTCTCCTTGCAGGCCCTTCCCAACAGACAGTTCCCAGAAGGCTCCTGCTCAAGCTGTAGTGTCAGTGGCCTGCAGTGTTTCGGAGAAAAGTCTGGATTAAGTGACACCATTCTGGGCCCTGGCCTGTGATTCTGAACAGATGTCCTTGCAGGCAAGCTCCTGCAGAACACTTTCCAAGGGCCTGCAGTGCTGATTGCCACACCTGGACCCAAATCCAGACAATTAGGAAAACTGGCGAGAGCCATCAATTCTACTTCTTATGATTCCCTGCCCTCCTAGAACCCAACACCATGTAAATTAAGTCCCTAAGAACAGCATTGGTATCCTATACTTTCCTAAGCTAAATATGCAAAGTCAACATTAAAACTGAGTGATATATCAGAAAGGGAGACAGAACATGGAAGACTCCTAACTCTGGGAAATGAGCTAGGGGTGGTGGAAGGGGAGGAAGGCAGGGGGTGGGGGTGACTAGATGGCGGGCACTGAGGGGGGCACTTGACGGGATGAGCACTGGGTGTTATTCTGTATGTTGGCAAATTGAACACCAATAAAAAATAAATGTATTATTAAAAATAAAATAAAATAAATAAAAAAATAAAACTGAGTGATATTGTCCATAGAATTGCCACATAGAATCAGCAGATGTTCCTAGAATAGAAGCAGTGGGGGGTCTGTCTGTTGGCTGATTATATGACACTAAATTTTTAAGATTGCATTTATTTATCAGTCTCAGGAGATTTTGGAATTTTACATAGGACTTTTGTTTGTTTTCCTATGTATTAGTTGGGGCTATTCTGCTGAAATAGGGGACTTGGAAATATACCGGCTCTAACCAAGATACAGATTTATTGCTCTCTCAATAAGCTAACAAAGATGCAAATTTATTGCTCTCTCAATCAGCTGTGGAAGATGACCTACAGCAGTGAGGCAGCTCCATGGGTTCATTCAATTAGGCAGGCACCCAGCCTACTCTTTCACACAGGCAGAGGGAGAAGCAGGCTCCATGCAGAGAGCCCGATGTGGGACTCGATCCCGGGTCTCCAGGATCACA